ATCTCCTCCGTCCCACAGAATCCAACTTCGAGGCCCCCAATAAAATATTTGAAGCCCCCCCCCTGCAAAGTTGATGGGCACTGCCATCCAAATGGTGTGTGTGCACCATGTTATGTGGTCGATTATGCAGGGTGGGGCTTACCTGCCCTCCCACCCCCCTATTTTATTCAAGTTTTGCACCCCTGCCTCCATCCTTCGCTGTGGTATGAAAAATGGCTCTAGAGCGCCTTGTAAGCTCCTCCTGTGGGCACCTTTTGCTTTTGTTTTTAAATTAAATGCTCTCTCCATGACGAGCTTAATGCAAGGCGGCTTCCTTCCCAAGGCTGATGGGAAACCCAGCCAGATGGGCTGAGTATTATTATTATTATCATTCCCTTTCCTACCGGGGGGCGTTTTACTGGTGCGCGAGTCCTTCTTTCCCGGCCTGTTCATTATGCCCAGGCTCCCTCCAGCTCTCGCTACCCGCGGGAACCGCTACTTTCCCCGCAAAAGCAGGCGCGCGCGCGTCGCCCGCAGCGTTCCCGTCTCCACGGCAACGACTTTTCCTCTAACAGCCCGGCTGGCGGCGGCGGCAGCTCCTCCCCTCTCTCCTCCCCCCCAGGCGGGGCTCGGGGGGGACGGACCAATTAGGCAGCGGAGAACCACGCCCACACACGCCGATGGAAGGGTGCGGAAGAGGAAGGAAAGCCCGGGTCCCCGGACGCATGCGCAAGGCTCGGCGCACGGGCTCAGTGTTCCGCGGTCGCCGGCGCAGCCGTGCAAAACCCCGTGGCAATAGGTGGGGCGCGCGTGCGGCGAGTCGCGCCGCGCGTGCCTCGCTGAGCAGGTTTTGCAGATCAGCTGTGGAAGCGCGTTGAGCTGCTGTGAGACGCGCTTTGCTGCATAGGCTCCAAGGAAAAGGCACCCGCTGTGTTGCGCGGCAATGCCTGCTAAGTAGTGGCTCCCTGCTTGCCTTCCTGGTTCATTTGTGAATCATAGCGTTGGAAGGGACCCCCAAGTCTCATCTAGTCTAACCCCTGTAGCGCATGAATCCTGCCCACAGTCATCCCGGAGCGAGTTCAGACCTTGTGCTTAACACCAGACGCCACCGTCTCTTTTCTGCTGCTGCTGTTTTTGATGCGCAGCCTCCTCCTCCCCAACCAGATGTCAATGAGAAAAATAATTACCAGACTTTTAGAAGACATCTGAAGGCAGCCCTGTTTAGGGAAGCTTTTAATGTTTAATAGGTTTTTGTATTTTAGTGTTCTGTTGGAAGCCGCCCAGAGTGGCTGAGAAACCCAGCCAGATGGGCGGGGTGTAAATATATTTTTTAGTATTATTATTATTATTATTATTATTATTATTATTATTATTATTATTATTACCTCTGCCAGTGGCGAGTTCACACACCAAGGCTCCAGTTGCAAGAGGAGCGGTAGAATAGGGTGGCCTTTCTGAACTCCAGAAACACCCAATCGGCTGCCTCCAACTCTTGAGCAAATCCCCTTTCCTTTTCACCTTCTAAAAATGGGAAGTAGCAGAGGGTGCGCCGCCCCCGCATGGATGCAAATACGTGAGCAAGTGGTGTCGCCACCGCAGTTCGGGGGTTTTGGTACTTATTCCATTGTTTTCCCCGCCTACTCCATTGAGGCAGGCCTGTTTCTCCATAAACTCGGATATGACGGTGACAGGAAAAGTCCCATTAGTTTACATGTTTACCAAGTGATGTAAAAACGTAAGTGTTGCAGGAGACGCCCAATGAGCTCTTGACAGTTCCAAAATAAAATCCCAGCGTAGGAAATGCTACAAGGAAGAACTGGACTGGGAGGACACCCCTCCCCCCAAAAAATATCTGCCCCCCCCCCCTATTTGAGAATAAACATTTGCTTTAGGATAAGAGTTCTGTTACCTTACTAGCAATTATCATATGCAAAAAAAATTAATGGCCAAATCAAGTGATACTGCATTTAAAGAATTACCGGTAACAATTGTTAATTGTGTAGGTGGCTTTAAAAATACAGGTGTGGGAGGCTTGAAAACTTTGCTGCCTGTTGCCATTTGTTTTTTGGCAAATTATGCTGTTTTGGGGAGTGAGGGGACCAAAGCATGTATATCAAAATGCCTATAATATTCTTTTTTTTAAGGGGGGGGAGAAACTAAAATGGCAAAAGGAGAAAAAAAAGTCATAAACTGATAAACTGTTAGAGGGGAAATCATTGAATGTTGGCCATTTCTTTTATTCTTTAAACCAGACCACACAGGTTCCCTGCATCAAATTCCATATGGGACAAATTATTTTGTATTTTATAGCTAGAATGTTCGAGCATTTAAATGATGGAATGCTCCTTTGGCTCATCCAGTTTAACTGTACACACATTTCCTTGCTCATATAATAGAAAGTTGTTTTCAGGGGATTATCTGAAAACATGTTCCCTTCTTTCCTTCAGTTAAATCTTGACCATGTTTAGTCAGAAGCAAGTCTCGGTGATTTCAGTTTGAATCTCTGCCAAGCAAATATGTTCAGGATTCCAGCCTAAATTTTGAAATCATTTCGTCAAATCTAATTTACCAGTGAGGTCTAAATACGCTTTGTGGTTCAAATAACAGAGGCACGAGATCATAAGGAGCTCTCCTGTTGCACAGCTATTGCTGCCTCAACAGGTTCCAAACTTGCTCTGGGAAGGATGTGAGTAATAGATGTGTTCCTAGACTGCAATTGTAATTTCGTGCAGTATGTCTTTGCCATACAACCATGTTGCTGAAGAGACAACACCATATTGTCCATTTAGCCAACTGGAGGAGTCTAGCACAAGCTAAAGGCAACCCTCAACTATTTGCTATGCAGATATATCCTATGGCTCTTGGGCTTGTTCCTTCTTCCCATGGTTTTGACCATATTGTTCCTATTTTCCCATCTTTAACTGGCTGCCTTGTTCATATAAACTTCTCTTATAGAGCCATTTCCCCTTTTAATTTGTCAACCCTTTGCCTCCTCTTTTTTTCTTCCCACATTACTTCTCCTGGTTCTGTTCTCCTGTTCAATCTTGGCTTCTATGTGCTTTGCCATATCTGCCCCCCCATTGTTATTAACTGAATTCCCTTCCCACCAAAATCCACACTATACCATCTTCCAGATCGTCTCTGAAATGTACTTTTTTTTCTATTAGAACTCCCCCCTTCTCTTCTGCACCCCGCTCCAACTCTGCCCATATCTCCTATATTTTATGTCCTTATCTCTCCTTTTCCGCACATGTCTATTTTAAATTATAAGCTGGCGGGCAGGGAATGTGTCTGCTTGTCCTATTTACATTGCAGATTCTATAGCTTAGCTACTGCAAGGAGGAGAATGGCAAATATTAAAGACTGTTAGTCATAGTAAATCTATTAAAAAGTTATGTGCACACTAGTGAAGAGTAGATGGAAATCCAGCGTAAAAAGAAGCTGCAATTAAAGCTGTAATTATTCCACTTTAAGTTTAATTCCTGCCCTAGTAGTTTAGTCTTGCCTCCCAGAGTGATTGTAATAAGCTTTAATTGCTTTACTGATTTTAATCAGCCCTTAGATGTGAGTGTGTTTGTCTCTCTCCCTGCATTTGGAAAGAAGAGGCAGTTTTTCATGAGAGAGGTTATACACACACACAAACCCCTGATGGGTAAGTTAGAAATGACCTAGCAGCCCATTTACCTCCATGCAATTGTACCAAGGTGCAAAACTCCCAAACTTTTTGCATGTTTAGTGAAGCTGTGTTTGGTGTAGTTACCCCACTTACAAGTCTGTTTTATTTAGGATCTAAATCTCACCCTGCAACAAATTTCCTGTGTGGCTTACAAGAAATTATTTTTAAAGCCTATCCTGCGGCGAGAAAACCAACAGCACAGGAGATTGCTAGGCTTGTTCCCTTAAAAAGCAGCATTAAAGTAGTTTCACCTCAGGAATCTTATTCAATTTTGGCAAAAACAAAAACCACATACTAAGTAAGAACTTTTCACCAGGATGGTGAGATGAACTTTAAGCTGCATAATGTTGCTTTGATTCCAGGTCTTTCCATGCTTCTGCCATATTATTTTACATATTTTAAATTATTTTCACAATTAAGGTGCAAAAGCTCCAGGCATAATATTTAAAAAGAGCCTGTTAGTCTCTGGAACTGAATTTTATTGACATTTTAAAAGTTCTGTTGTTTATGTGCTTTTAAGAATAAAATTAAACAGTATAAGAGAGCTTGGTCTTCGGACTGTTGGGTGAGCCCAAAACAACTTATGTGCATATCAGCAAATCAGATACTGGCTCAGCAATTAGCCTTGTACTTCCAGCACGCTTCAGGTCAGCTGTCCTTTTTAATTTATTTTTCCAAACTGTCCTGTTCATGGGTTCATCCTTCCCTTCATTACCTTCAAAAAAACAGTGCAGCATTGCTCCAGGGAATGAGCACAAGGAAGTTTCCTGGTGACATCATAGGAGGCCAGCCAATCAGCACAGTGTGCATCAAGTTAGCTGACACACCTTTGCACACCCCACCTTCCCAGTGGATGAACCTGAGCAGAAAAGACATGTCATGTTTCTGTTTCCGTTTTTATTATTATTATCTCTGTGTTACTGTGTTAGCCAGTAAATGCAAAATGGAGCACGTTTCCTGCTGTCCGGAGTCCATGCATGGGAGTTTGTGTGTAATGTGTGTAAAACCTAACTGAACTCTTTATTTCATTTGTCAAATAAATTAGCTGGAGTCATTTGAATTCCACCGCGGTTCTCAAAATGTGCGGCTATAATCTCCACACACAACCAAAATTATATCTAGTAGGAAACTTGAAGCTCATCTAGCCAACATACCGTATTTTTTGCTCTATAAGACTCACTTTTTCCCTCCTAAAAAGTAAGGGGAAATGTGTGTGCGTCTTATGGAGTGAATGCAGGCTGCGCAGCTATCCCAGAAGCCAGAACAGCAAGAGGGATTGCTGCTTTCACTGCGCAGCGATCCCTCTTGTTGTTCTGGCTTCTGAGATTCAGAATATTTTTTTCCCTTGTTTTCCTCCTCCAAAAACTAGGTGCGTCTTGTGGTCTGGTGCGTCTTATAGAGCAAAAAATATGGTGCTTTCTCAATTTAAATCACCCCTGAAATATAGTCATCCTACCTCTGAAGTATAAGTTTGCATTGTGCTTTTAGCTATGGGTTTAATGGACAGTGGCTGAAATTTCATCCTATGTAGAAAGTTACTCGTTCAGCCTGTTGGACCAGTGATTAGTGACGCCATCAGGGCAAGCCACCTGAGGATGTGGGCCCTACCCCTGCACGGATCAATGCCCTGCATTCCATTTTGTTGCCTTGTTTTCCCTCCTTGCTACTAACATCATGAGAATGCTGTGGTTCCATAACGTGTATTTCATCTGCAAGGCTCATGGTCATTATCCCAACTTTAGTAGGTGGAGAAAATGAGATCAAGATGGCTAAATTACTATCCCCGGATGGTAGTGTGAGTCAGTGCACAAGGTTGGAACATTCCTAATCCCTAGTGTCCTGCCCTACCCAGTATAAGGCTGCTTCCTGCCATCCTTTACTTCTTAAGGAACCTAAGTAGGGACTTCAGGTTTGATTGAACGTTTTTTCTCTTTCCACCCAGGCTTTCTGGAACTGGTTGAGAAGTGTCAGCAGCAGAGAATCCAACACAGCCAGGCCTCTCCAAGAACACCTAAGTCCCCTGCAAAAAAAACAATCCCCACCAACAAGGACATGGATTAATCTTCCACAGCAGACAACAGCATCTTTCTTCACAGAGAAACATGATGAACCCGTAGGGGTCCCTTACTTGTCGTCTAGAAGCAGCAAACCACACTCCTCCAGCTCTTTCACTTCCTCTGATTCTCCAAATGCATCCCACAGGCTGAGGTCAGGGGCAAATTGCAGCCAGTGCTGTAGAAAAGAAATGCTGCTAGGATGGCCGTTGCAATAACCAATAACAAGTGAGATAATAATGAACTGTGTGGAAATGAATCATTAACTAAAGGCTTTGCTTTGTGGAAGATCTGGAAAGGAAATGGAAGGCTTTTGGGATGACGCAGTTCTAAAAGAGAACCGCCATGACAAGACAGGTTCTGTTGCAGGATTGACGGTCAAGAGGGGGAGGAAGCCACGGCTTTGTTATCATACTTGACTATGTGTTTGATCTGGCAGAACCCCCTGAAAAGATTGATGTTGGAGCAACGGGTCTGTGAAAGCTAATGAGCAGACGCTAAGACTGTTTTCTATGGAAGTGCTGAAATGGCGCCTGCCGTCTGAATATGACTTTTGGATTAATGTGAAAATCCACACAGGACTATAACAATGTTTGTTTCAACTCGCTTGTGGAGACTTTCAGAGGTTATAAAGAAAGGAAAAAAATACGATAACAAGAAGATTGAAAGATGATTTGTAAAGGAAAACAACAAAGAGATGAATGGACAGAACTGTGAACATCAAAGCAGCAGAAATAAGAGATGATTGGATCCCTTTCTGAGCTTGAAGCATGGGTACCCCCAACAAAAATTTAAAATTCGGTTTTGTAATTTGGAACTAATGTGATTTGATTGGTTTGTTAATAAAAATTATTTTTTAAAAAAGAAAAAGAAATGCTGCTAGGATGGGTGTTGATTGATAGTTTCGAGAATTTGCTTTGCAGTTCATGTCCTATCAGAACACTAATGAGCGGGGGAGGATGGACTTCCAAATGTCAGTTATAAAGTCCTCGCAATGAATTCCTCAGCCTCTCATATACTTTTAAGACCATATGATGGGGCCCTGCTCTGGTTGATCCCCTCCGCCACCAGAGTTTAAACTGGCGTCCTCAAGAAGTTGGACCTATTCTCTTGCTGCACGTCCTCAAGGATGCTCTAGTTCCCTAGAAATTTTCAGGAAGGGCAGTAACTCCCTCCCTCAGCCTCCCATTCTGCTATCAAGTTTGCATATAACACTACACCAAACAAACCATGGCTTAGTGTGAGTGTTCCTGGAGAACGCTCCTCCCCCTGCTGCGTTGCTGTGAGCTAAGCCTTGCCTTGGCTAAGCATGTTGTCTTAACCTAGGCTTTGGGTTTGCCTGCTCCAGACAAATTACAAGCTGTAAACCCAGAACACCCCGTAGTTACAGCTCACGGCTTGACTGGAGCGACACAAACCTCAAGCCTGGGTTCAGATGACATCCTAAGCCAAGGCATGGCTTGGCTCACAGCAGTGCGACTGCAGCAGCAAGACGGAAGCAGAAGCAAAATGGCTGTGATTTCTCCATTTGCACTAAGCCATAGTTTGTATTATGTGCAACCCAGCTCTACATATTGCTTGAAGTATATCATTTACTGATTTTATGAGTTGTTGATTTATGAGTTGTTGTAAATTGGTTTTATATGGTCTTTATTTATTTTCTAGCTACCTTTGGAGACTCCTAACACCAAAAGGCAAGAAGTAATGTACATACGTAAAAATAAATAAATTCTTTTTTGCTTTTTTCCCCTTCTGTCTTTGGCAATCAGCATTCAAGCTAGCATATCTTTCTGAAATCCTAGGTTGATTGCATCTTTGTAATGAAGGTCAGCAACTGAGCGGCCATGCCAGTTGCTAAAACAGAATCTAGATGCTAGTTTGGTGGCAAACCCATATTTGAATGCCAACACCCCTTTTATATTGTTGGCAACAAACCATCGTTGGGAAGTTAAGTTGCAGCAAGGGTGGAAGTATATTGTTGTTTTCATCTCAGCCTGCACTGGGACTGTGCAAAACTGTCTAGCGGTTTCTAGATTTCTACCATAACCAAAATATGCTAAGCAATTTGGCGAGCTTGATTCAGTTTGATTTTCAAAGCTTGACTTCACCATTTTTGTCTTTGTTGGAGGGGTGAAGATTTAGGGCAGGAATGGGAAACATGACCCTCCCAATGTTGAACTTGGCTCCCATCATCTCGGACCACCAGCCTTGTTGGCTGGGATTGATGGGAGTTGGAGTCCCAAGAACATCTGGAGAGCCCCATGGTCCCAGTTTCTGGTGTAGCATACAGTACTACTCGACAAGATGCCTGACACAGCACTGCTGCCAAATTAAGAAGCTCAGTGTTGAGTTGTTTTCCCCCACCCTAGTAATGCTTTTGGTCAGAAATAGCCATGTTATTTTCTTTTTCTTTCCTGCTCCCAGTGTACATAACTGGATGCTGCTGATAGATGCAAGGAAACAAATATAACTCTGAATAAAAGTTGGAGAGAGAGAAAGGTGCAGGGGGTTGCGTTAAAGGTAAAGGCAAAGGACCCCTGACAGTTAAGTCCAGTCGCTAACGACTCTGGGGTTGCGGTGCTCATATTGCTTTACTGGCCGAGGGAGTCACCGTTTGTCCACATACAGTTTTTCCAGGTCATGTGGCAAGCATGACTAAGCCACTTCTGGCGAAACCAGAGCACTGTACAGAAACGCCGTTTACCTTCCCACCGGAGCGGTACCTATTTATCTACTTGCATTTGATGTGCTTTCGAACTGCTAGGTTGGCAGGAGTTGGGACCGAGCATCGGGAGCTAACCCCGTCGCAGGGATTCGAACCGCCAACCTTCCGATCGGCAAGCCCTAGGCTCAGTGGTTTAGACCAGTGTTTCCCAACCGGTGTTCCGCGGCACACTAGTGTGCCGTGAGACGTTGCCTAGTGTGCCGTGGGAGGGAGGCGGGCGAGTCGGGCGGCGAGAGGCGGGGCGCCGGCGGCGAGCACACGCGGGGCGGCGAGCGAGCTCCCTCCCACATCCCATCGCCGCGAATGCAGGCTTTCGCTGAAGCCTGGAGAGCGAGAGGGGTCGGTGCGCACCGACCCCTCTTGCTCTCCAGGCTTAAGGAAGCTATCCCCCCAGCCGCGCAAGCTCCCAGAGCGATGCCAAAGCTGCGCGCACCTTTGCCATCGCTCTCCAACCCGTTCGGGGGGCTGGGGTCGGGGGAAGCTCCAGCTTCCCCCGCCCGCAGCCTCCCAAGCCCCGAGAGCGATGGCGAACGTGCGCACACCATCGCCATCGCTCTCTGACCTGTTCGGGGGGCTGGGGAGGGGGGAAGCTCCGGCTTCCCCCGCCCCCAGCCCGCGCAAGGTCCCAGAGCGATGGCGAAGGTGCGCACACCTTCGCCATCGCTCTCCGACCTGCTCTGCGGGCTGGGGAAGGGAGAAGCTCCGGCTTCCCCCACCCCCAGCCCGCGCAAGGTCCCAGAGCGATGGCGAAGGTGCGCACACCTTCGCCATCGCTCTCCGACCTGCTCTGCGGGCTGGGGAAAGGAGAAGCTCCGGCTTCCCCCGCCCCCAGCCCGCGCAAGGTCCCAGAGCGATGGCGAAGGTGCGCACACCTTCGCCATCGCTCTCTGACCTGCTCTGCGGGCTGGGGACGGGAGAAGCTCCGGCTTCCCCCGCCCCCAGCCCGCGCAAGGTCCCAGAGCGATGCCGAAGGTGCACACACCTTCGCCATCGCTCTCTGACCTGCTCTGGCGGCTGGGGGCGGGGGAAGCTCCGGCTTCCCCCGCCCCCAGCTCCTGCAAGCTCCGGGAGCAATGGCAAAGGTGCGCTCACCTTCGCCATCGCTCTCGGACCCTTTCTGGGGGCTGGGGGTGGGGGAAGCTCTGGCTTCCCCCACCTCCAGCCCCGCAAGCTCTGGGAGTGATGGCGAAGGTGCGCTCACCTTTGCCATCGCTCTCGGACCCTTTCTGGGGGCTGGAGGCGGGGGAAGCTCGGGCTTCCCCCACCCCCAGTCCCGCAAGCTCCGGGAGCCACTCTGGCTCCCATTCTGGGGGCTGGGGTCGGGGGAAGCTCGGGCTTCTCCCGCCCCAGCCCCGCGTCTGGGGGGGGGGGAATAATTTTTTCCCCTTTATTTCCCCCCCAAAATCTAGGTACGTCCTATGGGCCGGTGCGTCCTATAGGGCGAAAAATAGGGTAGTCAATATAGGCACAGAGTTAATTTTTTAAACATTTTCTAATGGTGGTGTGCCTTGAGATTTTTTTCATGAAACAAGTGTGCCTTTGCCCAAAAAAGGTTGGGAAACACTGGTTTAGACCACAGTGCCACCCACGTCCCTGTGGGTTGCTTTAGGCAACAGCTAATCCTCTCCTTGTTGGACCACTGAAAGCAACAATGTGTGTTTTAAGGAAAATAAACCGAGGGCGGGGAAAATCTGCAGTTCCTAAAATTGAGAGCCTCGTGGCCAGTGGAAATCCCACGAAGGTTATTTCCAGCTTTCATTCATTTAGCAACCACAACCAGCAGGTTTTTCCAAGCTTTCTCCAAAAGGGATAAAAATCCAATCTTTTAAAAGCAGATTCAAACCACTGGTGCTGGTCACGTATTTTGCTTCTTGGTCACTCATTTCTCTTTAATTCTTTTGATTCTACCTGCTGAGTACCTTGTGGAAAAGACAGAGAAAGTTCAGAAAAAGAGGAAGTAATAGGCCATTTCTGCCAAAAGTTCTGGAGTTAGGGCACTGAAAATTTCAGCCCCACCCAGTTGGCTGCAAGTGCAGTTGCTGGCACAATCACACCTCACCTTGTGTGTAATTCCTATATCCATACGAAGCCCCAACATCAGAACCTCTTCCAGTCTGCAAAGGAGACAGTCACAGAGTAACATAACACAAGGACATAGAAGTGTCTAGCAACCTAGGAATAGTCACCAGAAACCTGTACTGCCTTTTCTGCACACACCATTCCTAGCAACTGTAGCAGATTAGCTTAGACCAGGCATGGCCAAACTTGGCCCTCCAGCTGTTTTGGGACTACCATTCCCATCATCCCTGACCACTGGTCCTGTTAGCTAGGGATGATGGGAGTTGTAGTCCCAAAACATCTAGAGGGCCAAGTTTGGCTATGCCTGGCCTACGCAGAGGACACATGCTCTGAACCAACTTCACCTGCTATTTCAAGCATCATATACATATTAAAACATATTTGCCTAGATCAGTTTCCCAAACTTAGGTCTCCAGCTGTTGTTGGACTACAATTCTCATAATCCCCAGCTACCAGGACCAGTGGCCGGGGATGATGTGAACTGTAGTCCAAAAGCGGCTGGAGCCCCAAGTTTGGGAAACCCTGGCCCAGCTGAAGGGTGGAGAGATGAGTATGCATAGAAGCCTCTGGATTCTCCACAGCTGAAATGTAGCCACCATATCAAAGATAAGAGTCACTGTGGCTCCATCCATTCCTTGCCTCTGGCCCCACCCACCACTGCCACCCTAAAAGATTGACTTGAGGGAATGAGGCCCTTGAGCTGAAAATCCTCCCCTCCCCCTTCTTAGTTAGAGTGTTCAAAGCATTTCACATGGATTTTCTCAGAAATCCGAACAGCAATGTAATGTAGGTCTTAGTACAATGGTACCTCGGGTTAAGTACTTAATTCATTCCGGAGGTCCGTCCTTAACCTGAAACTGTTCTTAACCTGAAGCACCACTTTAGCTAATGGAGCCTCCTGCTGCCGCCGCGCTACCGTGCAGGGGGTTGCGTTAAAGGTAAAGGCAAAGGACCCCTGACAGTTAAGTCCAGTCGCTAACGACTCTGGGGTTGCGGTGCTCATATTGCTTTACTGGCCGAGGGAGTCACCGTTTGTCCACATACAGTTTTTCCAGGTCATGTGGCAAGCATGACTAAGCCACTTCTGGCGAAACCAGAGCACTGTACAGAAACGCCGTTTACCTTCCCACCGGAGCGGTACTATTTATCTACTTGCATTTGATGTGCTTTCGAACTGCTAGGTTGGCAGGAGTTGGGACCGAGCATCGGGAGCTAACCCCGTCGCAGGGATTCGAACCGCCAACCTTCCGATCGGCAAGCCCTAGGCTCAGTGGTTTAGACCAGTGTTTCCCAACCGGTGTTCCGCGGCACACTAGTGTGCCGTGAACGTTGCCTATGTGGCCGTGGGAGGGAGGCGGGCGAGTCGGGCGGCGAGAGGCGGGGCGCCGGCGGCGAGCACACGCGGGGCGGCGAGCGAGCTCCCTCCCACATCCCATCGCCGCGAATGCAGGCTTTCGCTGAAGCCTGGAGAGCGAGAGGGGTCGGTGCGCACCGACCCCTCTGGCTCTCCAGGCTTAAGGAAGCTATCCCCCAGCCGCGCAAGCTCCAGAGCGATGCCAAAGCTGCGCGCACCTTTGCCATCGCTCTCCAACCCGTTCGGGGGGCTGGGGTCGGGGGAAGCTCCAGCTCCCACATGGATTAATCTTCCACAGCAGACAACAGCATCTTTCTTCACAGAGAAACATGATGAACCCGTAGGGGTCCCTTACTTGTCGTCTAGAAGCAGCAAACCACCTCCTCCAGCTCTTTCACTTCCTCCGATTCTCCAAATGCATCCCACAGGCTGAAGTCAGGGGCAAATTGTAGCCAGTGCTGTAGAAAAGAAATGCTGCTAGGATGGCCGTTGCAATAACCAATAACAAGTGAGATAATAATGAACTGTGTGGAAATGAATCATTAACTAAAGGCTTTGCTTTGTGGAAGATCTGGAAAGGAAATGGAAGGCTTTTGGGATGACGCAGTTCTAAAAGAGAACCGCCATGACAAGACAGGTTCTGTTGCAGGATTGACGGTCAAGAGGGGGAGGAAGCCACGGCTTTGTTATCATACTTGACTATGTGTTTGATCTGGCAGAACCCCCTGAAAAGATTGATGTTGGAGCAACGGGTCTGTGAAAGCTAATGAGCAGACGCTAAGACTGTTTTCTATGGAAGTGCTGAAATGGCATCTGCCGTCTGAATATGACTTTTGGATTAATGTGAAAATCCACACAGGACTATAACAACGTTTGTTTCAACTCGCTTGTGGAGACTTTCAGAGGTTATAAAGAAAGGGGGGAAAATACGGTAACAAGAAGATTGAAAGATGATTTGTAAATGAAAACAACAAAGAGATGAATGGACAGAACTGTGAACATCAAAGCAGCAGAAATAAGAGATGATTGGATCCCTTTCTGAGCTTGAAGCAACAAAAATTTAAAATTCGGTTTTGTAATTCGGAACTAATGTGATTTGATTGGTTTGTTAATAAAAATTATTTTTAAAAAAGAAAAAGAAATGCTGCTAGGATGGGTGGTGTTGATTGATAGTTTCGAGAATTTGCTTTGCAGTTCATGTCCTATCAGAACACTAATGAGCGGGGGAGGATGGACTTCCAAATGTCAGTTATAAAGTCCTCGCAATGAATTCCTCAGCCTCTCATATACTTTTAAGACCATATGATGGGGCCCTGCTCTGGTTGATCCCCTCCGCCACCAGAGTTTAAACTGGCGTCCTCAAGAAGTTGGACCTATTCTCTTGCTGCACGTCCTCAAGGATGCTCTAGTTCCCTAGAAATTTTCAGGAAGGGCAGTAACTCCCTCCCTCAGCCTCCCATTCTGCTATCAAGTTTGCATATAACACTACACCAAACAAACCATGGCTTAGTGTGAGTGTTCCTGGAGAACGCTCCTCCCCCTGCTGCGTTGCTGTGAGCTAAGCCTTGCCTTGGCTAAGCATGTTGTCTTAACCTAGGCTTTGGGTTTGCCTGCTCCAGACAAATTACAAGCTGTAAACCCAGAACACCCCGTAGTTACAGCTCACGGCTTGACTGGAGCGACACAAACCTCAAGCCTGGGTTCAGATGACATCCTAAGCCAAGGCATGGCTTGGCTCACAGCAGTGCGACTGCAGCAGCAAGACGGAAGCAGAAGCAAAATGGCTGTGATTTCTCCATTTGCACTAAGCCATAGTTTGTATTATGTGCAACCCAGCTCTACATATTGCTTGAAGTATATCATTTACTGATTTTATGAGTTGTTGATTTATGAGTTGTTGTAAATTGGTTTTATATGGTCTTTATTTATTTTCTAGCTACCTTTGGAGACTCCTAACACCAAAAGGCAAGAAGTAATGTACATACGTAAAAATAAATAAATTCTTTTTTGCTTTTTTCCCCTTCTGTCTTTGGCAATCAGCATTCAAGCTAGCATATCTTTCTGAAATCCTAGGTTGATTGCATCTTTGTAATGAAGGTCAGCAACTGAGCGGCCATGCCAGTTGCTAAAACAGAATCTAGATGCTAGTTTGGTGGCAAACCCATATTTGAATGCCAACACCCCTTTTATATTGTTGGCAACAAACCATCGTTGGGAAGTTAAGTTGCAGCAAGGGTGGAAGTATATTGTTGTTTTCATCTCAGCCTGCACTGGGACTGTGCAAAACTGTCTAGCGGTTTCTAGATTTCTACCATAACCAAAATATGCTAAGCAATTTGGCGAGCTTGATTCAGTTTGATTTTCAAAGCTTGACTTCACCATTTTTGTGTTTGTTGGAGGGGTGAAGATTTAGGGCAGGAATGGGAAACATGACCCTCCCAATGTTGAACTTGGCTCCCATCATCTCGGACCACCAGCCTTGTTGGCTGGGATTGATGGGAGTTGGAGTCCCAAGAACATCTGGAGAGCCCCATGGTCCCAGTTTCTGGTGTAGCATACAGTACTACTCGACAAGATGCCTGACACAGCACTGCTGCCAAATTAAGAAGCTCAGTGTTGAGTTGTTTTCCCCCACCCTAGTAATGCTTTTGGTCAGAAATAGCCATGTTATTTTCTTTTTCTTTCCTGCTCCCAGTGTACATAACTGGATGCTGCTGATAGATGCAAGGAAACAAATATAACTCTGAATAAAAGTTGGAGAGAGAGAAAGGTGCAGGGGGTTGCTTTAAAGGTAAAGGACCCCTTACAGTTAAGTCCAGTCGCTAACGACTCTGGGGTTGCGGTGCTCATATCGCTTTACTGGCCGAGGGAGTCGCCGTTTGTCCACATACAGTTTTTCCAGGTCATGTGGCAAGCATGACTAAGCCGGTTCTGGCGAAACCAGAGCACTGTACAGAAACGCCGTTTACCTTCCCGCCGGAGCGGTACCTATTTATCTACTTGCATTTGATATGCTTTCGAACTGCTAGGTTGGCAGGAGTTGGGACCAAGCATCGGGAGCTAACCCCGTCGCAGGGATTCGAACCGCCAACCTTCCGATCGGCAAGCCCTAGGCCTCAGTGGTTTAGGACCAACAGCGCACCCACGTCCCTGTGGGTTGCTTTAGGCAACAGCTAATCCTCTCCTTGTTGGACCACTGAAAGCAACAATGTGTGTTTTAAGGAAAATAAACCGAGGGCGGGGAAAATCTGCAGTTCCTAAAATTGAGAGCCTCGTGGCCAGTGGAAATCCCACGAAGGTTATTTTCCAGTTTTCATTCATTTAGCAACCACAACCAGCAGGTTTTTCCAAGCTTTCTCCAAAAGGGATAAAAATTCAATCTTTTAAAAGCAGATTCAAACCACTGGTGCTGGTCACGTATTTTGCTTCTTGGTCACTCATTTCTCTTTAATTCTTTTGATTCTACCTGCTGAGTACCTTGTGGAAAAGACAGAGAAAGTTCAGAAAAAGAGGAAGTAATAGGCCATTTCTGCCAAAAGCTCTGGAGTTAGGGCACTGAAAATTTCAGCCCCACCCAGTTGGCTGCAAGTGCAGTTGCTGGCACAATCACACCTCACCTTGTGTGTAATTCCTATATCCATACGAAGCCCCAACATCAGAACCTCTTCCAGTCTGCAAAGGAGACAGTCACAGGGTAACATAACACAAGGGCATAGAACTCTCTAGCAACCTAGGAATAGTCACCAGAAACCTGTGCTGCTTTTTCTGCACACACCATTCCTAGCAACTGTAGCAGATTAGCTTAGACCAGGCATGGCCAAACTTGGCCCTCCAGCTGTTTTGGGACTACCATTCCCATCATCCCTGACCACTGGTCCTGTTAGCTAGGGATGATGGCAGTTGTAGTCCCAAAACATCTAGAGGGCCAAGTTTGGCTATGTCTGGCCTACGCAGAGGACACATGCTCTGAACCAACTTCACCTGCTATTTCAAGCATTATATACATATTAAAACATATTTGCCTAGATCAGTTTCCCAAACTTAGGTCTCCAGCTGTTTGTTGGACTACAATTCTCATAATCCCCAGCTACCAGGACCAGTGGCCGGGGATGATGTGAACTGTAGTCCAAAAGCGGCTGGAGCCCCAAGTTTGGGAAACCCTGGCCCAGCTGACGGGTGGAGAGATGAGTATGCATAGAAGCCTCTGGATTCTCCACAGCTGAAATGTAGCCACCATATCAAAGATAAGAGTCACTGTGGCTCCATCCATTCCTTGCCTCTGGCCCCACCCACCACTGCCACCCTAAAAGATTGACTTGAGGGAACGAGGCCCTTGAGCTGAAAATCCTCCCCTTCCCCCTTCTTAGAGTGTTACAAGCATTTCACATGGATTTTCTCAGAAATCCTAACAGCAATGTAATGTAGGTCTTAGTACAATGGTAAAGGTAAAGGTAAAGGTACCCCTGCCCGTACGGGCCAGTCTTGACAGACTCTGGGGTTGTGCGCCCATCTCACTCAAGAGGCCGGAGGCCAGCGCTGTCCGGAGACACTTCCGGGTCACGTGGCCAGCGTGACATCGCTGCTCTGGCGAGCCAGAGCCGCACACGGAAACGCCGTTTACCTTCCCGCTAGTAAGCGGTCCCTATTTATCTACTTGCACCCGGAGGTGCTTTCGAACTGCTAGGTTGGCAGGCGCTGGGACCGAGCAACGGGAGCGCACCCCGCCGCGGGGATTCGAACCACCGACCTTTCGATCGGCAAGCCCTAGGCGCTGAGGCTTTTACCCACAGCGCCACCCGCGTCCCCTAGTACAATGGTACCTCGGGTTAAGTACTTAATTCATTCCGGAGGTCCGTCCTTAACCTGAAACTGCTCTTAACCTGAAGCACCATTTAGCTAATGGAGCCTCCTGCTGCCGCTGCGCTACCGGAGCACGATTTCTGTTCTCATCCTGAAGCAAAGTTCTTAACCCGAGGTACTATTTTTGGGTTAGCAGAGTCTGTAACCTGAAGCGTATGTAACCTGAAGCATATGTAACCCAAGGTACCACTGTATTCCCCTATTGCAGATGGGGGCCTAAGCAGTCATGGCATGCCTGTGGGCAACTACTGAGCTCGTGGTCAAGTCAAAACTTGAATCCAAGGTGTTCCCCCTGCATTACCATGGTTTGAAGGAATTCTGCTCAAGTACATGGGATAAAACTACCTCCTCGGCTCCCCTTCTACTTACATATCCAGTTTGCTGAGTTCAGTCCGCTTCCGGGTCCCATGCCCAACAGCCAACACCTCCTTCATCCATACATCTGGCTCCAAAGTCTGTATCCTGGCCTCCCGATGGACTTTGCCATCTCCCCACGGCACAAATCTCCCATGGGCTCCTAGGAAAGAGGCAGCCAGGGCTGTGGCTTAATTCTTCATCTCTAGAGGGTATGGGAAGCAAATGTGCATAACTGCCCAGCCATCAGATGGCTGAGGTCATCCTTCCCCAACAACTCATGTCGAACATGAAGCACAGCTAAAATGGTGCCATCTGAAAAGCACCTTGGAGAGCCCAGATTGGGAAGCGGCTGGCCCCTCTCATCTCCCCAAGCAATGCTCACCTGGTCCAATCCCGATATATTGACTCCCTTGCCAATAGGACAGGTTGTGGGTACTAAGTGCCCCTGCAGGGGAAAAAGAAACAGAACAGCATAACCACTAAGGAATAGGTAGTCCAGGGTTACACCATGCTGGGCACCCTTTAGCGACCGACTCCTGAGGACACTCAGCAACTCAGTGGATCCAGCATTCAAGTTTTGTGAGAAAGCGGAAAGCTCAGATTTAAAGCTCTCTCTTGGGATGGGAACTAAGCCTTCTGACTATCGGTCTCAGCCTGTGCCTACTGCCTTCAATAACATGCTCTGTTCTTTGCTAAGAAGGCATCCTCAGAGCATGTTTGCTTCACTTCTGTAGCTGGATGATATTCTTCTCTTTCTTTCCTACACATACACAAGCAAGCAAGCAAGCAAGCTTATTTCATTATCTGAAATCATTTTGTCTACTCCCTTCTGCTTAGGCAAGAGGAACCCCGCCACCAATCCATCTGAAGACTGGATGAGACCCATGGGTGCTTCTCTGCATATCCCCCTCGGTGGGGGGGGGGTGTTGTTTTGTGGTTTTTTTGGAGTGGTTGCAACTGAAGAGGGAAGGGTTAACCATATCCTGCAACCCCCACACTGAAAAAAGCTCCTCTTGCTTGTCAGGCTTGAAAACTCTCTCTCTCTCTCTCTCTCTCTCTCTCTCTCTCTCTGTGTGTGTGTGTGTGTGTGTGTGTGTGTGACAGCACACGGGGAGAAGGTTAACCATTCCCTTAGCAGCTATGACCCTCAACCCCAGTTACCCTCCACCTGTGGCAATTGTGTTGAAAAAAAGTCTTCCAATGACTCCAATGGGAAGCTGTTTTCAAGCTTAGCTGTTGCATATGTGTGTGTGAGAGCGAGATCTTTGTGGAGACTGCAACTCCAATGCTTTTTCAAGCCTAATTATTTGGAGGTGTGGTCAGAGTGTGTGTGTTGGGGCGGGAAGAAAACAAACATGAATGGGTATTGGTATGGCCTGTATTATACGTGAGAATGAACGGAAGCGGGTGACATACTCATGAATTGATGTGTGGGGAAGATTAACAATGTTTGGATGCTGCCCTTGGACTGAGTAAGGTCCCCACTCCTGATTTAGGCTATATAGCAGAGGTTCTAGGCAAAGTAACAGACTTACATTCCTAGCGAAATTGGAGACCTCGTACTGATGGAAAGCTGAATTTTGCAGAACATGCCGGGAGCACTCGTACATCTCTGATACTACATCCGGATCAGGCATGGGCAGGGAGCCCTGGTGGACTTGCTTGAAAAGCGAAGTACCCCTCTCCAGTGTCAGCTGGTAGAGAGAGATGTGGTCATCACACACGGTGAGCAGTTCCTCCAGACCCTGGATCCACGATGCATTGGTCTGACCCGGGAGTCCAAATATGAGGTCAATGGAAGTACGGCCTGCAAAGAGTTTCTTGGCTTCTTCTAAAGTTCGTAGAGCGTCACAAGATGTGTGGTTCCTTCCAAGGAGTTTCAGCTCTGTATTATTAAGTGACTGTTGATGAGGACAGGAAAACATGAGTATATTTGCCTCATTTATCAGGGGAAGAAGTGCAAGTGTCAGGAAAGAGATATGAGTAAGGCAAGAGTGAAAGCACTATTAGAGCATGAAGATTTCTGAATGTCAGGTGCAAGCAAGAACCAATGGGAGCAAAAAGTGAAGAGTCTGGTGGCCAAAAAACAGTTTGTAAGAGAGATTTCCCATTTCCTCCCTCTCCCCTTTGAAATACATTCTTGCGGGGGGGGGGGGGTTGATCAGAGAAACAAAGGAGGTGTGTGTTTTAACTCCTTCCCCGACTGAAATCTCACACTGACCCCCAGGTTGTTCTTTGCCCTTGCCAAATTTAACTCTTACTTTTAAAATTGTGGATGTAGAAAATAGTAACAGGAAAGGATTTTCTCACAGGTCAGATTGGTGGTTATTCTGGACTATTCTGAGATATTTACTCCATAAGTAACTGTTTGCTGTTTCTGGCACACTACGGGCAGGAAAGGAGAGGAAGAGAGATGCTGAAGAATGGAGTGGCAAGCTCAATCATTTTTGACAAACGCAAGTTGCCAAAGATTTCCATAAATGCTTTTTAGAAACTTCTCCCGAAAGGAATATTGTAACTGGATCAGCACAGATTAATACAGCCCTGAAAGCAATGCACCCGTCATCTTACCTGGACACCAATGGAGAGGCGATTGATACCAGCTTTCTGGAACTCAGCCAGGCACGAGGCATCTGCTGAAGTGGGATTGGCTTCCAGTGTAACCTCAGTGCCTTCTGCTAAATGGGCACACTGGGAGACAGTGTCCAGGACAGCAGCAATGGTGAGCGGGTTGGCCAGGCTTGGCGTCCCTCCACCAAAGAACACTGATGTGATTCTGCAAAACCAAGGAGACGGTGAGGGGGACATATCTGAGGAACCCACAGTGTTGAGCCATATACGTCTCGGCCATACATCTCATTGCCTTTTTTTTGTCTACTGCTTTTCAATAAAATAAATAAATCTTCCTATAGCAGTTTACAAGCCACTTAACAAATATACAACATAATGTTCCCACTGATCAGAAAGACTTCAAACCTCTGTAGGATTTCACAAAAGCCACTGTCCTTTAATGGTGAAGAGCATCTGTACTGAATATATTTGGCTTATTCCAAACCACTAAAATTCCCAACGCAAGAGCAGCTGCTGGCTTTGTTGTAAAACTCATCTCTTTCCTGTTCCTTCCCAAGTTCCCTGACTGTAAATCCTGACTGTTCAAAACCTCCCCCTCATCTTCCACTATACTAACCTCTTGACTTGGCTGAGTTGGATCAGGGTTTGGGCCTCCTGAACAAGACAGTTCCTCATTTTCTGCTCATCAAGATTACGGGGAATGTACTTGTTGAAGTTGCAGTAGCTGCAGCGTTTCTCACAGTAGGGCCACTAAGAGACAAGGAAACAATAGAATTCTTATTTGTTAAGACCAAGCACACTTTCTGGTACCTTCACCCTACTGTGTCCTGCTATCGTCAACATCTTGCAGACCAAAGCCTGTAACACTTCTACCTACCAAGAGG